TATTTATTTATTTATTTATTTATTTATTTATTTATTTATTTATTTATCTATTTATGTATTTATTTATTTATTTATTTATTTATTTATTTATCTATTTATGCATTTATTGATTGATTGATTGATTTATGTATTTATGTATTTATTTATTATGTATTTATTAATTTATTTGTTTTTAATTTTTTTGTTGCTTAATTTAATCAAATTTAACTTAATACTTTTTTTTCCCTGTAAGCTGCTGGTGACCTTAATTTCCTGAGGGAGTCTTCCCAAGGGATCAATAAAGTACTGTCTAAGTCTAAGTCTAAGTCTGTCAGTCAATCAATGACGCGGGTTGGTTTATTTGTGTTGATTTTTATGTATATACATGCATATTTTTATCCTGTGCGGGCAGTGCTTTTTTAAAATATTTATTCTTTTTTGGGCAGCACTTGGGAAACCTTGTGTTTGTTGAAATCGTGCTATATAAATAAAGTGGATTGGATTGAAATGTCATGACAATGTCGATTACAATGGACCCCGTTTTATTCTGTGGTCAAGAAAATCTTGCATGAAAAACTGACACGAGATGGTGTAAAAGTTCCTGATACATGTTCCCCTTAGGGGGGTTTAGCTTTGCCCATCACCAAAATGTGTGGCCTGGTCAAGAACACAAATACAACTTTCTATCTTGTGGGTGTTTATTCCCCGACTGAGCTTAATAAAGAACAGCATTAATACTGTGTTTGTTTGTTGTTGGTTTTTCTTGAGGATTCAGGACAGTTTTAGTTACAAGAAAACAAAAAGATTAGTCTTCCTTATTTCCTTATTTGGCATCAACCATCAGCTTTAACAGTTCCCTTTAGTACTTGATAAACAATAGTCTATATAAGCTACCCCCAACTACAGTAACTATGCCCGAATTCTGCTCAACTTCCCTCCCTGTGTCTCCTAGTGCTGCTCTTGGTGGAAATTGTTCTTCAGTAAATAACTCAGAGTCTGAGCAGCTCTGTTTGTAAATCTGGGAGATAACTGTTGTTGGGATGTGACGATATACAAATAAAACTGAATTGTATTGAATCAGGATACTTTTAACTGAGAACTGAGAACACTCTGACTTAAGTCTACTTACTAAAATGGCATTAACTATTAATCAAATGTGTTTTCCTCATCTCCAACTTCACAATCAGTGAGATGGATCTACTCTTCCCCTCTTTTTTCCCATCTAAAGACCTAAAACCTCATTTAATTGAACCCCTTGTGGAGTTTGACACCTCTGTGCCCGCTTAAAAGAATTACTATTAAATCCCCTTCTCTGACCTATTTTTTTTACCATCATATTGCACTCCACTTGCAACTTTAGCTTTTTCAGTGAGAAACTAATTAAACTTGGACTCATTGTGCTGTGGATGTCACCTACTTGTCTTCCACTATCTCTCGGTAGGTCTTGATGCTTCTCCTCCTGTGAGAGAGGCAGCCGTCTCCTGACATTAAGCGCTCCATCATTTTCCTCTCCTCCTCTTTTTTTATCAGATCCTGGGAAATGCTCCTCCTCCGACTTTTCCAACGGGCCAGGTCCTGTTAGGCACAGACGGAGGTTTTAGGCTTCCTGATTTAAAAACTCCGGATTTGTGTTTTCAACTACAGGCGAATAAGTCAAAATGGAAGTGATTGGAGACACTCACGTCCTGCCAGTGGTTCTCCTCTTCCTTCATTTTGTTGTACTGGTTGTGCATCAGCTCGTGCCGCACCTGGCTGTGCGGCTGTAAAAGCGCCTCCTCCTCGCCACGCATGTCGATCATACTCACACTCCTGTGAAAGACACAAAACGCAGAATTATTCCCACTGTAAGGGATTTATTTAATGATTTCCCAGAGAGGTTTCACTGCCCTGTTGCCATCTTGGTCCTTTTTCTGTGGTTATTTTGGTGCCACAGCGGTAAAAATAAACTATTATGACTAAACCTGTTAATATAAAACAGAGATATATTGTATTCTTGGTTGATACTCGAATTTGAGAGAAACCCCAACAGCCCATCGACATAGAAAAGGAACAAACAACAGAACATCCTTTAGCCAGTGACATAACATGTTGGAGTTCAAGTTTCATTCAATTTTCCTGCAGCAAAAATCCAAAAGAACGTGTCCAAATGAGGAATTTGCTCTGAACACATGACAAAAAACAAAAAGAAGCATTTAAAACATCACATTAAGGCACAGATGCAAAGCTTTTTTTAGTAAAATTTGCTTGTGAGAGCATGCTACTATGGCAGAATCTTGCCCTTTGCATTAGTGGGGAGGAAAGTTAAAGTATCCTTTGAGTGTAGCTTCATTTGTTGGAGGCCTGAGGCCGTTTGGCTTTCATTTCAAAGCCCCCCTCATGAATGATAGCTGTGTTTGCTTTAAGACTCAGATGTTTGGTTTTTTACACATAGGCACCCCATCACCAGACATGAAATCACAAAAGGAGAATGACTCACTCCATTCACTGTGTTTACATTTTTTTAAAACATGGTTAGGACATGGATGCCTGTCAACACTTAGAAACATTCTTGCATTAGAGACATCGTCAGGTATTTCTGTATCTATATGAAAAAGCTCACTTTTGTAATCCAGTTCAAGCAGCAACGACTTCCATGAACAGTTTTCTGTTTGATTTGTAAATTAAAGGATTGTTTCCATGCAGCTGGCAGAAGACTGGAAGGCGAGTTATTTCTCTCCACAAAAACCAGGGCAAAGGCAGCAATCCCCAAAACACAAGATTCAGAAAATGGGTCAAAGTGCTGAGTCTCAAAAAGTAAATGTTAAAAAATTATTATTTTTCAAATGACAGAAATGACATTTTCATAATCAAATGCTTCCGAGTTGACTGAACATAATTTGGGAAAAAACATCAAATTGGATCTTTCATTTATATGATGTGAGGCAATTTCATGATCAAAGCATTTTTCAACAGGTTCATTACAACCCAGGTAACAAATAATCATATCAAATAAATATTTCAGCGAATTTGATTTGCAAAATTTCCACATAATACTGTCTAAAGGGACCTTTATAAACCAGATTTCACTCTGCGACTGCCTGTTTATAGAGAGAAACTGTATCACCTCCAGACACAGAATTAGAAATCTGTGTAAAACAGGCGTCTCAATGAAGGAGTTTGAGGATTTGTGTTAATTTCATATTTCTACTCCATTTCCATCCTGTATTAAGGGAAAACTTTTATATTTGTTTCATCTTTCCAGCCCTCAGAGACTGATGTGAGGATAGAGAAGTAAACTAAAACATTCACAGAAAATAAGGTGTCATAGTGAACTGGATGTTTATATCACAATCGGTTGCTTTAACCAAACAGAATATTATTTCCATTGGTAAAAAGATATCCAATGCAGAAATAATCCTGATGTGTGGACAAAAAGTGGACACTGGTCAGGTTTCATGGACAGTGATAAAAACATCAAGAAAAACAAATATGAATAAAAAATGGGGGGAAAAAATCGAGTGAAGGAACAAAAAAAATTAGAAAGATTTTTGGATTTATAAAAAGAAATAATCTGAAACTGACCAGGCATCTGACCAATGAAAATCCGACTTACTGTGGGTCATCTGACACACTGAATGTACAGAGAGCATGGAGATAGAAAACAAAGACAAATGAACGACTCTCCTCCTCCTTAAACGCACAAATCTGAACACAATTAACCATCTCAGTGTTAGTTAGCAGATAATATGTGGCATGGGTTAGTTAGCGAACAGTCAAAGAGGAGGAATGCTAGCATTTAGCATTTAGTTTGAAACATGATCAAAAACCTTGTGATTTTACACAGTTGTGCTTGTTAGAGTAAGCACCAGGGGGCAGTGTTATTGTGTTAAAACACAACCAACACACATTTACAGTCGCACAGCAAAACTGAGGGCAGAAAGCTTAGAAAAAGAGGCCTTTAGCAGCATCACAATGAAGCTAATAATAAACAGTAAACGCAGCACATGCATTCTTTTTTTATCGGTGCGGCATCAAAGATGATGCTCGTTTTTTTCGCGGGCTCGGCCTTAACCACGAAGGTCTTCACAACTTGCTTCTTTTTTCTTTTTTTGGTTTAAACAGAGCAGCCTCTGTGATGTTGGAGGGGTGTGAGAGAAAGTGTGGCCTGTGGTTGCTGTCCCACAAAAGAAGGAGACTAAATAAGGAGAAGACTCCCATGAATGAAAGCCATACTTTTTTTAAAGCATGGCCGTTTACCACATGGTTTAGCATACGGTCTTTGGTCTTTGGTAGAAAGATATAGCCCTGTAATATGCATTAAAACAATTCTAAGTCAGACTTTTATCGGAACATGTTCAGTTATTGTTGTAAGATTGATTAAGAGGAGAATCCATGTTGGCACAAATTGAGAAAATGTACGCAGGCTAAAGAAGAAAAAAAACTGAAAGGCCACATTCTCAAATGTCTCCTCCTCTTCAAATGGTGTATAAGCAGAAATCAAGCTAAGGAAATGAGAGCAGACTTTCCAGATTTCCCATGCAGTCCAAAATATTCTGTTCTTTTTTTCAGACGGCCATCACAGTTTGCATTCGGGTAGAAGAGGCCATGCAATCTTCAGGAAGCTGCCAATCATCCGAACAGAGGAGGGTGGATGTCTCATGCCGGTGTTGATATTCAGAGATCACCGGAAAACAAGATCCCTGGCTTTAAAAAAAACGAATTTGGCCAAACGTGGTGCGGCACAGAGCTCACTTTGCGGGAGGTCGGCCATCTTCTTTCGGGTTCCCCCTCTTCCTGAGCCCCCTCTGGCTTTCTGTCTCAGCCTCTGGAGCTGAGCCGGTTTCCGTGGCGATAAAGTCGGAGCAAACGGGCGTTTGTTTGGGCGAACCGGGCTCTCCGGCGGGTCCCTGAGAACCTGCTGCCTTTGCTCGGTGTTTCCCGGGTAGAGCTGCCGAATGGTGGAAGAGTTCCTCTGAGCACCACCGAGCTGGAATACTGCAGAAAGCAAAGCACACTGAACCCTTCTGCTGCCTCTATAATCAAACGCCCGGATATGTGGGGAGCTTTGGGGGGGGGGCGGGGGTGAATTTAACCTGTCACGTCTTGGGGAATGTCTGGTGTCTTGTCATGTGTTGATTACCTATTGTGTTCACCTGGGGTTCCCCTCCCTCATGTGTTTAAATAGTCCTCTTTTCCCATGTCATGTAAGGTTTTGCTTTTTGCCACAGTCTTGTTAATCTTTATTTTGTTACTTTGTCATAGTCACAGTTTTGCCACAGCCTTGTTTTTTACCCTTGTCTGGACTTCCACCTTTGTTAATAATAATAAACCCAATAATAAACCCTGTTTTTCCGATTTATCTCCGCGCCTGAGTCCTCCCTCAAGATCTACATCCCTGACATAACCAAACTCCTCATGCTTACAGGTGTTTTTCAAACCAGCCTGTGAAAACAAATTCAAATCAGTATATTGCTTAAGGCAGTGTTTTTCAACCACTGTGCCTCGGTACACTAGTGATGGTCAGGTGTACCGTAGAAAATCATCCTATTTCACCTAATTGGTCTAAAAAGAATTTTTGATAAGGAATTAATTATCTGCAAATAATGTGCCATTTTTGAGTGTCTGTGCTGTACTAGTGACTGGTGGAGTAATCATGTAATAATTCCTTATGACTAGATTTTGTATAGAATTTAGTATATTGAAGTGGACATGTTAAGAGCAATTTGAAAGACGAAATATAAAATATGATAAAAATACATTTTTGTGTTTATTTGATTCCTATTCAAGAGACTTAAGATAAGACTTAGACTTAGACTTCCTTTATTGTCATTACACAAAAAACACAAGGTGAATCTTGACAACGAAATGTCGATTACTTGATAAGATAAGAATAACTGTAGTGTTACTATAGGCGGATACATATTTGTTTGACATTTTTGGTTGGTGGTGTGCCTCGTGATTATTTCAATGAAGGGTCAGACAGGAAGAAGGCCTCATTTCCTCCCATCCTGAGGGCGGGTGTTTTCTAGAAAAGTACACAGCATTTTGGGCCAAACCTTGATGGGATTTTTGAGGGAAAGAACAAGTGTGACTAGTTCCGAGGATAGTTTTTCTAATTTATGTAAAAAAAAATGTTTTGTGTGGGGTTTATTAACCATATAATGCCAAATGTTATGCGCTAATTTGATAAAAATAATTTGTGTTTTTTTTTCCTCATATGTTGTTGAGGGGCCAAAGAAAGACTTCAGACTAAAAAAATCCAATATTCTTCCTATTTTTCTTGGATCAGGCTTTAAAGGGTTAATTTAACTTAAACTGTATAATCAAGGATAATTTGTCTTGCAGGAAACAGATCAATGGATTAACTTTTACATTTCCAGCTAAACAACCTATAAAACATGTTTTAAATTACTTAAATTGTGGGGCAAAGGTAACAGTATGCAAACTGCAAAAACACTAAGCTTAAATTTGTCCTTAAATAGCAGCTATCAGGTGGAGAGGTCTGTATAAAATCCTTACACAAGCATCCTTGACATCCCCCTAGTTTGAAACACAAATACACACAATCCTCAGAGGATTCTTTTTAAGCTCTAGAAATGCTGACAGCTCCCAGATGCCATGAAATCTATGCCAGAAATGAATAAAAAAATGTTTAAAAAAAGACAGAAAACATGGGTGTGTGACAGAAATTAACACTGGTAACAAGCTGTGAAGGAAACGCCATATTTAGTAGGAAATAACCCTGGATAAGGCCGGTGGTGAAATAACATAAGCTCCTTAGACCGGCATTTTTTAAAGAAAGAACTACGGCAATATTAGATCATGCCAGACCTTTGCTAACTGTGAAACACACAAAAGCATTGTGTTTCAATAACTCATAATGCTCACAGTGTTATTTGAGACTAAATGTACAGACTTAGTCCCTCCTTAACCGGTCAGAATGAGCTCCCAGCCTCTCAGTAGGTTTTTGTTGTTAAGTGGAAATTGTGAGCTGATAATATGGCTGAATTGAAAGACCAGCTGTGAAAACTGGAGCCATTTTTCCTCTCAAAGAAAAAGCCCTGATGAGACTATTCTCAGAGAAGTCTGTATTACTTTAATGAAAGTTATTTTTTGATAGATTTGCTGCTTTGGGGTTTAAATAACTTCCTCTTTTCTGGGATTTGGGTGGCACAGGTGGAATGAACCTCAGGGACAGATTAAACTAAATTTCCCCCAAATTGCATTTGGATACATCGACTCTTTAACCAAACAATAGTTGTGCCGATTGATTTCATGGCCGACAATAAGGACGTATTCTCGGCACTGTTACGCTCCCAGTGCTGGACTGGAAACCTGAGAACTGGCTTCATTCGGTTAATTTTCCTTGGTTTCTTCATCCTGGTGCTATGAAACTGGAGCACAGACATTTTGGGCGTGTTTTAGGGTGGTAGCATTCAGCTGTCCAGTGCTAATATGCTTTTCTCAAAACTAGAGATCTGAGCACAGACCAATGAAATGAGTCAAATCCTTACTCTGATCTTTCTTGAGGCTATTTACCAGAGAGCCAATGGAGCATTTAAAACTTGAAATGCTTCTGTTAGCTGAGAGTCATTATTTTGTAAAAGGGTTAGGGTTCCACTTAGTGGAAATCCAGCTTACTTTCATTAAAACTGAAAAACAGCATGTTTGATGAGTAAAAAGTTCATCTTTATCAAGTAGCATCTTTATGACATCCAAAGCTGAATTCGAAGTTTGGAAAAAATATATAAAAATGTATATATCCTAACCCTAACCCTAAGTGTCACTGCACCAAAGCTAAAAATGAAAAACACCTTCTGATAATAATAATAATAATAATAATAATAATAATAATAATAATAATAATATACGCAGTAAATACAAATAAAGTTCAGATTTAGATCAATAATCAAGATCAACTACAAATTAATTCCAGGTCTATAGAAAGGCAAATGAAATAAAGAGTTGGGAAAATAGAAAAAACGTGAATAAAAGCGGAGACCTTTGCTCTGAGGTGACGGTCAGGTGAGTTAAAGCCTCCCTGGGGGGGTCGGGGGGGGGCGGGGGGAGAATACAGGGCGGAGGCTCACTGCTCCTCCTCATGCCCGCAGCTGAGGTCTGAATGCTCGGGAAAGACGTGGTCCTCTCTCCTCCATCCGGCTCCTTTTTACTCTTGTTTTCCTGAATCTGTGTGTGGGGTTCGAGAGGCGAGGGGGGGGGTGGACTACGGGATTTCTCAAGTGGGACAAGAGAGCTAGGGACCTCATTTGGACTGGTTTATTACCCATTCACACAACAAACACGGGACGGTGAATTGCATTGGAGATAAATGGGAAGAATAAGTCAAGTGCGTGACGGTCGTTAGACAAAACACACACAAATGGAGCGGGAATGGGTTCGCACAGGAGTTGTGTTAGAGATGCACAACAACAAAGGGCGAAAAGCGGAAAAGGAGCGGTGGGAAAAAGTTGGAAAAAAAAAAAAGGAAAAAGAAGAAACGAGACATGTTCACAAGCAACGTTTTGATGCAAAACAACATGATGAATAAACTTAAAGAAACAGCAAACAATGGGCGACTGAGTTTAGCCAATCAAAGGGCAGACATTGGGCTCCTGTTTGTGGCACTTCTTAAAACTAAAAACACCAGCACCCCCCAAAAAACTTCAGAATGTAACCCAGTAATAAACTTGGTGAAAGGCAGCTAATTAGAGGATACGGAGGAATCCACTGAGCATGTCGAAATCTGAAACAGGACTGAACTTGTAAGTCTGCGTTTTCATGCCTCAACATGCTCAACGAAGCTGGTTTTGACTAAGTAGCAAACTCCTACTCCACTTAAAGTCACTGAACCCCCCACATCTGGCCAACATCAGCCCCTCCCATCAGCACCATAACCAGGCAGAGAAAATAATCAGCAGCTGAACGCTGTGATTCCCATCAGATTTCGGCCTCTTTACTAAAGATAACCCCAAAAAGATAACTCCCCTCATAGTAGACTGACTCTGTGCCAATTTATAAATGAGGTTTCAGTAGAAAACCTTGTATGGCTGAAGCCTGTAGGAGCCTCGGTTGGATATCCAACTCCTCTCATATCCAAGTCGGCCATTTTGATTAGGTCATGTGACTAGCAGCTGTCTCAGGTGGAAACAAAACTTTACTGTCAATACGAAATCGGAAGATTGCTAAACCTAAACCTAAACCTAACCCTGACCCTAAACCTGACCCTAAACCTGACCCTAAACCTAACCCTAACCCTAACCCTAACCCTAAACCTAAGCCTCCACCCTTTATAATTGTGAGAAATAAATATTTTTTGGTTAAACTTGTTTGGACTTATTGTACAAACCTATTTAACATCCACTATTTTAACATAATATTATGCATAGAGTTTAATTCAGTGTTCAATTTTTAAATTAATGTTTATATTGCCATAAAGCCATTACGATAATGCATGTATGCAACAGTTTTGTATTTCGGAAATTTTAATGGCTACTGTCATGTCAACAACTTTAAAACAATAAATAAATAAAAGCTGCCTGGGATTTTCCTATTGGTGACGTAATCAAAATAGCCGACTTGGATGTGGGCGGAGTCGGATATCCATCCTTGACCAGACGTACTTGTGTATTTCAGGATAGATAGATAGATAGATAGATAGATAGATAGATAGATAGATAGA